TATTAAATTTCTGTTGTTTTGGGGTTTTGTTGTTTGTTTGTTTGTTTTGAGACAGGGTTTCTCTGTAGCTTTGGAGCCTGTCCTGGAACTAGCTCTTGTAGACCAGGCTGGCCTCGAACTCACAGAGATTCTCCTGTCTCTTCCTTCCTAGTGTTGGGATTAAAGGCGAGGGCCATCACTGCCTGGATGTTTTGGGGTTTTTTGAGGGTTTCGCTGTGTAGCCTTAGCAGTCCTGGAACTCTCACTGTAGACCAGGCTGGGCTCAAACTCAGGCATTTGCCTGTCCCTGCCTCCTGAGTGCTGGAATTAAAGATGTATGCCACTGACGTCACCACTACCATCATCTGGCTTTTTCTTCTCCTAACATCTTTCCTTTTTCCTTTTTTCCAATCTCTGACCATGTAGGTCAGACTGGCCTCAAATTCTTCCAGAGATGGGATATTAGGTATATACCACCATGGGAACCTTTACTTATTGTGCTATGAGACGCCCACTACCAAGGCCTCTACTGCTTTACAGTGCTTTTACTTAAAAGAAAAATTATACATTTTCTGAAAAACATTGGAAAGCAATAGCTGTGTTAAAACTGGAAAAAAAGACCTTTAAAAAAGTGCTGTAATGAACTGGAGGCCAAGATGCTGTTTCGATTAGTAGTCACCATGGTCAGAAGGTGCACGCAGTGTGGTGACCTAAGACACTTGCTCTGGTTATAAAATGTTACCATAATGAAGCAGGAGGTGGGAGAGTGGCACAGGGCAGAAACCAGGCTGAGGATGCCTGCAGATAGACAGCTTTGGCCAGATGTGTGAGGCCCTGGCTCCCACCCCCAGCCCTAGACATAAGAGAAAGAAAGAAAGAAAAAAGAACGCGAGGAAGCAAGAGGCAAGTGCACTGGGCATGGTGACTCATTTCTACAATCCCAGACAGAAGCTGGAGGGAAGCTGAGGCAGGAGGATTGTCATGAGTTCAACACCAGTTTGCTACAGAGTGGGATCATAACTCACCTAATTTTTGGGGGGAGGTCATGGGAGAGGGTAGAAATAGAGAGGGGCAGGAACGAAGGGAAGCAGAGAAAAATGTATAGCACAATAAAAACAATAAAAATAAAAAATTTAAATTAGCATAAAAATCATAGCTATTATCACTAATTATTGGAATAGTTTCAATGGTATTTGATTAGCATTCACTGATTTAGTTTTCAGTCCCTACTTCTATGGGACAAAAGCTGGCCTTGCATGACAAAGTCCCTGGGTTCAATCCTCAGAATTGACTATCAACATCCAAAGGATCGTAGAAGCCTAGGAATGTTTTAGGGTTTGAGTTTGTAGAGACTTGCGCAGTGGACACTTCCAAGCAAGAGCTATTCCATCATCTTAAGTTTATAATAACACACACACACACACACACACACACACACACACGTAGACATCTGATGGTGGCTTAAAGGAGACGGAAAGGCAGAGAGAGGAAAGTCTGTCTTGGCAGGACAGTGTTTTTTGGAGGACACATTTCTAGGGGAATACAATCTCACCCACGTGAAGGGATGAGCCATAAATCCCACGCTCTGGGGGGGGGGGATGAGAGAATGCCTCATACCATAAGAGAATAAAATAATAAAATGGCCCAGTTCATGCAGACAGATGAGAGGATACCCCAGGAAGAAGAAGGCTACGACTTTTATAGGGCCATAAATGACTGCCTCGCCTACTAAAAGTTCCCTCCTGTACTTTTTCAGTTCCGTAGTTCCCTTGCCGCAATGGCACTTGGGAGGTGTAGTCTTTCAGCAGGAAACTATCGTTCAAAGCTCTATGATAGAGAGAAAAGAGGAGCTGTTTGCTGAAGAGGGTCTTTGTCAGAGGTGGTAGTTATGGGCACACTGAAGTGGGGGACGGGTCCCCTGGTCACTTAGCAGGAGAAGAGTTCTACTTGATCGTCTGTGATGGAGCCTGTTGTTGTAGGGGGGTTACTTATAGGTGCATTGAAGGGTCAGTCCTGTCACTTAGCAGGAGAGTTTAACTTGATCAGCTGTGATGGATTATGCGACGATTGTCGTCCTGTATTCCTAATGAGACTTTTGAAACAGAATTGTTAAAGGGCTGTAAACAGTTGATTTGGTTACCGAATAAAACAGAGAGATTTCCCTGGAAGGAAGGTTGAGGGAGGAGAAGGAGCCATGGCAAGGGAGACAGAGTGGGCCAGTGAGACTAAGTGGGCACAGACTTGATTCAGGGTGACAGGGATTGGTCCCATGCCAGGACTCCTGCGCCAAATGAGCTAGCAGACGTAGCAGGGAACTAGAGAGCGTCAAAGGAAGGGAAGAGGACTAATGTCAAGAATAATATTTGGAGCGGGATGAAAGGGATGAAGTTCCTTCTCAGCCAGTTTTTCCATGCCGTGTGAAAGGTCTTTTTGTAGCTATGTCTGGAACAAATGGAGCTGTTGTAGGGTGAAAGTCACCGGGAGAGCTTACATGGAACATTTCGCTTGGGTATAGGGTGAAATTCAGTAAAACATGTAAAAGGCAAGGCAGGGTAATACATTACACGTGAGTATAATAAGGAGGGCTGATATGATCAAGGGAAGGAACCAGAGTGGGAAGGAACCAAAAGGAATTTTCATCTTGCATCTTGTCCCTGTGTCTTGTGCTAAGGAGAAGTATCTTTCTTTTTTTTGAGATAGGGTTTCTTTGTGTAACAGTTCTGGCTGTCCTGGAACTCGCTTTGTAGACCAGCTGGGCCTCAAAAATCACAGAGATCTGCCTTCCTCTGCCTCCTAAGTGCTGGGATTAAAGCTGTGCACCACCACCACCTGGTTGTTTGTTTTTTGGGACAGGGTTTTATTGTGTTGTTTAGTCCTGGCTGTACTGGATCTCACTCTGTAGACCAGGCTGGTCTTGAACTCACAGAAGTCTATCTGCCTCTGCCTCCCAAGTGCTGGGATTAAAGATGTGTGCCACCACTGTCTGGTAGAAGAAATTTCTTTTTCTTTTCTTTTTTTTTTTTTGGTTTTTCGAGACAGGGTTTCTCTGTGGCTTTGGAGCCTGTCCTGGAACTAGCTCTTGTAGACCAGGCTGGTCTCGAACTCACAGAGATCCGCCTGCCTCTGCCTCCCGAGTGCTGGGATTAAAGGCGTGCGCCACCACCGCCCGGCCTCTTTTTCTTTTTTTTAAAAATATTTATTTATTTATTTATTAATTATTCAATGTTCTCTCTGCGTGTATGCCTGCAGGCCAGAAGAGGGCGCCAGACCTCATTACAGATGGTTGTGAGCCACCATGTGGTTGCTGGGAATTGAACTCAGGACCTTTGGAAGAGCAGGCAATGCTCTTAACCACTGAGCCATCTCTCCAGCCCCTAGAAGAAATTTCTTAACTTTTCATTTAAAAATAAATTGGTTTAGAAGCATAATTTGTAAAGCAAGATAATCATATTAAACGAGTTTTGGGATTTCTGGGAAAACATCCACAAGTACCACTTCGAAAGCCTGTATTCTCCTTACAGGCACCGGCCCTGGAGCGTTCAGTCCCATAGTCCTGAAGCAACACAGGTCAGCCCAGGTCAGAGATAATCTCCTTCAGGTGTGGGACGTTACCGAATAGAATCATTTGTTGACTCTACAGATAGAAAACCAACTGTCAAAGACATGGCTTGTTCCGTCTACTAACTTTGCAAAGCTGTGAGTTTGATGACAGAGTATCTGACATCTTCCTTTAGTGAGAGAACATGGATGGTTAGGGTGAGGACCCTGGAATCAGCTTTTACTAAGAGGAAGAACAAGGCCAGGGTAGAGGGCATGGCCAATTAAACCAATATTCAGGTCTCAAACCAGTGTCACAAGGTTCCCCTCTTCACAGCGTCCTCACATGTCCATTTGGGAGACATTAAGGGCAGAGTGTAATTGCTACTTGCCTCTCTGAAGTCTGGGACATTTAGGATGTGGGTGAAGGCTCTGAGGTCCTCCAGTGGGCAAAAGAAACCATCCCCCTGTCACGTGAGACATAAGGAGTAAATAAGGAGTAATTAATCTTTGGATAAGAAAGCTGGAGGCAGAAGCAGCCAGCTTCTGACAGGTCTTATTTCCCATGCATCCTTGTTCCATGAGGCTAAGATGCCACTTACTCTGTTGTTGTTTTTTGTTTTGTTTTTCGAGACAGGGTTTCTCTGTAGCTTTGGTGCCAGTCCCAGAACTAGCTCTTGTAGACCAGGCTGGCCTCGAACTCCCAGATATCCGCCTGCCTCTGCCTCCCGAGTACTGGGATTAAAGGCGTGCACCACCGCTGCCCGGCGCCACTTACTCTGGTTGGATATCTGTGCCCCAAACAAGGGAACTACTTGGGCCTGAGGACTTCCTGCCGATCAAGCTTATTGTAAACTTAATCCATTTTACTCAAGCATTCAATATTTTATAACCAGCTTTTTTATAAATCTGATTTTGAATATTATTTTATATTAGTCAAACTAAATTTACTTTAAATTTGAGTTACTTGCATTAGGCTTAATTTTGACAACAGAAGACTATATAATAAGAAATACAGATTGGTCTCTTCCTCCAAGCTTGTTTCTGTAAATTTGTACTTTGCATGATTGACTATTAACTTGTATTTCTCAATCATACTTAACAGAGTACAATAAATCAGTTAACTCTCTCATAAGTTATACACAGCCCCGTTTTCTTGCTGCATAGCCCAATCTAGCCTTGAACTACAGGGAACTATCTCTGTCTCCAGAGTACCTGAATTACCAGGATGCATCACCACATTCAGCTTCTCCCTGAGACTGTTGTGCCTTTCAATAGCCCTCTGAACCCAGGATGAGTTATTTACACTGTCAAACCCAAGGAAAAACAGCTCAGCGAGATAGGAGTCGACTCTCATGAGTTTCCCGTATTATGAGATCACTGTCTGAAACGAAGGTCCAGACTCTGTTTTCAAATTTCCTTTGCAAAGCAGACAATACGGTAGCTCGAGGCGGGGAAACTCCATCAGGACTCAGAGAATGAAGTCAGACTCGACGCCACGCCCCCCGTCCCAAGCCCCGGAGGAGGAAGTGGCGAGGACACCGAGACGAGGCGGCGGCTGGGCTAGAGCGGCCAGGCCCGGCGGAGCGGGGAGCGGCAAGGGGCGGGGACTCGGGGCGGAGCCTCCGGAGCGGCGCGGGCTCAGGTGAGCGCTCCTCGGCGGTGCTGGCTGGCGGGCACCTAGAGCTCTGGTGCGGAAGCTGCGCGAGCTGTGGGGGCTCAGGTGGGCTATCCTGAGGAGGTCCGGAATCTCTGGCGAGGATCTGGCCTCGGGCTGGGCCCGAGGAGGGGAGGGGCTGTGGAACTGGGGGCGAGTCGAGTGCCCGCCCCGGGCTGAGACTTGAGGGGTTTGAAGGAGGGGGCTCTGATCCAGGTTCGAGGCCCGACTCTTCCCTCAGCCCCCGCGTGACCTTGGATAAGTCTTTCCCTCCCCGAGCTTCTGCTACCACGACGACGAAATGGGTCCGCTGAGAGTTGGTACACATAGAGAGGTTCGGCAAAGAAATCCCAGCCTTCTCTCTGCTCTCTTCCCCAGGACATTGTTAGTGAAACGTGAATCACGGGAGTGCTTAAGAGTTTGAGTGACCTTGGGCCAGTCCCCTGTTTTGACGTTTCTACAGATGTGATGGACTAACCTAATATCCCTGTACTATTCTGGTGTTACTAATGCAGACAGAAACTAGGCAATGTCCCTGTCACTACAAGTGTCTGCTAGGTATGCGGCAGAGAGAGTATTTTTTCAGAGGATTGACTGGATCTCAGCCTCAATTCACTTTAATTCCCAAAGCACACTTCTATTTGTTTTTCTCCCTTGGTAATTGGAGGACTGATTTAGTTTAAGGGTTGGCAGGCCTCTCGGCTGAACAATAACCAGTATCTTCAAGGACTAAAATTAAAGAGCAATTTTAGGAAACCTGACATCTGGCTGTTTTGTTTGTGTTTCAATGGCAGGAAGGCAAGATGACTTCCCTGCTCCAAGATTGGAACAGCTGAAGAAACCACAAGACAAAATGAGAACTACAAAGGTCTACAAACTTGTCATCCACAAGAAGGGCTTTGGGGGCAGTGGTCAGTATTGATTGGTCTTTGGGGATTGTGTAAATTGGCCAAAGTTATGATGTGCCCAGTACAATACAATGCCGTAACAATTACGAATATCACAAATTGAGGTGGGCAGGTAAATGAGTGAAGCCATAACAGCCATCAGGAGAATTGGTTGCACTGGAGTCGACAAGAACTCTGAAAAGCATTCACATTCAGGTTTTGTTTGGTTTTACTTTGAATCTTGATCTTACTGGGAGTCCCAGGCTCATCTGGAACTCGTCTTGTAGCCCAGGCTGGCCTTGAACCCATTATCCTCCTGTCTGTGTGTCTGGGTGGAAATGTTCTACCACACTTGACTTAGTTTTCCCTTTTTTTTTCCCCTCCTCTCTCCTGTGCAACGCCAGAAATTAACCCAAGGCCTCATAGGTACTTTTGGAACAGGGCTTTTTTTTTTTTTTTTTTTTTAAGATTTTATTTATTTATTTTTTATGTATACAGTGTTCTGCTTGCATGTCTGCCTGCATGCCAGAAGAAGGCACCAGGTCTTATTACAGATGGTTGTGAGCCAAAGAGCAGCCAGTGCTCTTAACCTCTCATCTCTCCAGCCCCAGGGACAGGGTTATTCTACGTGACAGTCCTGGCTGTCCTAAAACTCACTCCTTAGACAAGGCTGGCCTCCAGTTCAGAGATCTGCCTGCCTCTGCCTCTGAGTGCTGGAATTAAAGGCATGCACAACCACCGCCTGGCTCTTTCTAATTTTTTTTTTAAATGCTATTTACTTCAGAAATCAGTATTGCTGACACAATGAGGTAGCTTTGTTTTTGATAGAGTCTTATAGCCCACATTGGCTTTGAAATCAGTATATACTGGAAGATGATCTTGAATTTCTGAACTCTCTTCCTCTATAACCAAGTGCTGGGATCTCTTGTGTTCCTACCTGGTTTTATGTGATTCTGGGCAAAGAACCCATACGTTGTGCATGCTAGCAAGCACTCTACCAAGGAGCAGCTCCCCAGTCCTCGTGAGTCTTTTTTACTTTAAATTTCATTTAATATTTGTTTATTTATGTACATGTGTGTGTGCATTTATGAGAGATAGGTGCCGACCTTTAGTATTGTTTCTCAGGAGCCACTCCCTATTTTTTCTTTCAGATACAGGGTCTCACTCTTTAGCCTTGACTGGTTTACAATGCCCATCGGGCTGGCCTTGAAGTGACAGAGATCCTATCCTCTCTTACAGAGAGATATCTTTGCCTACTAACTACTGGAATTAAAGGCATGTCTATCATGCCTAGCACCTTGTATTTTTATTTATTTCTTTTTCTTTTCTTTTTTTTTTTTTTTTTTTTTTTTGGTTTTTTCGACTCAGGGTTTCTCTGTGGCTTTGGAGCCTGTCCTGGAACTAGCTCTGTAGACCAGGCTGGTCTCGAACTCACAGAGATCCACCTGCCTCTGCCTCCCGAGTGCTGGGATTAAAGGCGTGCGCCACCATCGCCCGGCTTATTTCTTTTTCTTTACCTTCATTTTTGAGACAGTTTCGTGGTGGGTCCCGGAGCTTGCTGGTTAGGCTGGACTAGCTGGCCGGTGATGACATGTGGAAGTTCTGCTACATACCTTGGTTCATTATGTGTTAATTTGGAGTTAATTCAGTACTTACATGTTTAAAAACCTTTAGTTGTCAAATTATCTTCATATTTAGTCATATCAATCTCATATGGGGTTACCACACACTATTTCTTTTATTTATTTATTTATTTATTATGTATACAATGTTCTGTCTGTGTGTCTGCAGGCCAGAAGAGAGTACCAGACCCCATCACAGATGGTTGTGAGCCACCATGTGGTTGCTGGGAATTGAACTCAGGACCTTTGGAAGCGCAGGCAATGCTCTTAACCTCTGAGCCATCTCTCCAGCCCCCACACACTATTTCTGAAACTGGCCTAAACATTTGTGAAGAATAGATGGCTATTGAATAAACAACAGAGATTCCTTCAGCAGAGGAAATAACAAGAATACAGTGTATATGGTATATATATATAATATATGTATACATTATATATATATATATACTGTACTGTGTAGGTATATAGGTCTGTGGTTTATTTTTATTTTGGGTGTGTGTATACAAGACAGATGTAGCTTGGTGATATACCTAGGGATACAAATAAAATTCTAACCAGTATACCTATCAAATATAAAGATTGTGAATATGGCAAAATCTCTTGTCCCAAAGGAGTTCTTAACTTTATGAAATGATTAGCTAGCTGTAGTGACTTATGACTTCGACACCGAACTTTCCAAGGTTAAGACAGGAGGATTGCTTAAAGTTTGAGGCCAAGCTGCTGCAGAATGAAACTGTTCCAGCGGAAACAGAAAGGATCTAGATGTGGTGGTGTGTGCTTTAAATCCCAGCACACAGGAGGCAAAGGCAGGCAGATCTCTGTGTGAGTTTGCGGCCACCCTGGTTTACATGGTGAGCTCTAGGCCAGTTCACCATGTCCGAAAACAGCTCTAGACTCTGTCTGAAAACAAACAAAAATGCAAACAAAGAAAAAAAAAGAAGAAGAAAAAGCAGTAAGTAAAGATGGAGAGAAAGAAGAAGGAGAAAAGAAATGAAAGAAATAAAAAACGTGTACTTTCCGGGCAGTGGTGGCACAAACCTTTAATCCCAGCACTCAAGAGGCAGAGGCAGGTGGATCTCTGTGAGTTCGAGGCCAGCCTGGTTTACAAGAGCTAGTTCTAGGACAGGCTCCAAAGCTACAGAGAAACCCTGTCTCGAAAAACCAAACAAAAACAAAAACGCCAAACAAACCGTGTACTCAGGGAGCTTAGACAATGGGAGTTTGTCATGGGGACTTCACAGAGATTGGACTTAAAATTAACAATGGAACATTCTACATAAATCAGTCCTTTACTAGGCTGAATTTTATCAAGTATTTTATCAAGTACACTTGTAGTCTACCCTTATTTTGGGGCGGGTGGGTTTATTTATTTATTTGTACTGAGGATTGGGATTGTAGCCAAGGTCTCATGCTAAGCATTTAATCTATGCCCTTACCCCAACCCCTATAGTTTAAAGGTTGTTTTGAACCCCCATGTGAACTAACACTTGAAGTCTAGACTATATGGCTCGAGTTTTATAACATATAAGAGGTGGTGAGCCTAATTTAGACAGAAGGAACTCATTACCAGTAATGAGCTTTTACTGGCTGTCTACCTTTAGATAAGCCAGTTTGTCTCCCAGGTTTTTCCTTGCTCTAACAAGAGCTCCAAAAGATTTATTGTGAGGGTTTAAGACAGTGTTTTTAAGGGAATTCATTGCATATTACATAAATATAAGTGGGACCTAGGCTGTTTCCATCATGTGTATGACAGATTCACAAGTATTTTAGAGAGTAAAGTGATATGCCAGAGGTGTAATTCTCCGAACCGTGGGCTGCTTTTTCCATAGAAACAGTAAGAAACATGTGCTTGGAGACAGGCCTCTGAGCTCTGTCCAGTAAGATAGTAGAAGGAGCATGTGCTTGGAGACAGGCCTCTGAGCTCTGTCCAGTAAGATAGTAGAAGGAGCATGTGCTTGGAGACAGGCCTCTGAGCTCTGTCCAGTAAGATAGTAGAAGGAGCATGTGCTTGGAGACAGGCCTCCGAGCTCTGTCCACTGCAGCCCTTTACTGTCATGGCCCTAGATACCTTTGCAAAAAACTTTTTCACTTATTTTTTTCTTCTGAACTGAGGATGGAAACCAGGCTCTCAAGCATGATAGATAAGCACTTTATCTCTTGAGTGACGTCCTCAGCCCTATGCAAATCCTTTATTTGTTCTAAAACTAGATTTAAAATGGACGCTCAGAGAAAAGGCAGAACACTTGGTTACCTATGCATAAGCCCCTAGGTTAAGTTAGGACCTTATAAAATAGGAAAACAAACAGGACAAATGGGGGCTGGTGAGACGGCTCAGTGGGTAAGGGCACTTGCTGCCAAACCTGACCTGAGTTCAATCCCTGGGCCCCAAATGGTGAAGGGAATGAACCAACATTTGTAAGTTGTCCTCTGGCCTACACACACACACTTAACCCCCCCCCCCAAAAAAAAAGGTCCAACAACCCAGAAAACAAAAATCCAAATGGAACCTCAATATAACAACAAAAATAAAAATAAACATTGAGCGTAGTATAGCCTGCCCTGTGGTCCTGGCAGTGTGGGACCACAGAGACAGGAAGGTGAAAGGATTCAAAACTACCTTATAGGATGAGTTTGATGCTATCCTAAGACACTTATGTCAGTCCAAAAAGTAAAAATCGTGCCAGAGTTCAAACGTGAGATCTAGTAGTAACACAACATGATGGGGATGCTCTGTGTTTTTTCTCTGATGCTTTTGTTTTTTTAGAGGTATGTGGTAGAGATTCACCCCTACACCTCATACGTGCTAAGCCTGTGGTCAA